TCTAACTTAGTCTTTCTCAAAATATTATTCCATTGCTCACTATACTGTTCTTTAACCTCATTTCTTAACTCTTTACTACGGAACTGTAATTTATCCATAACATTCAAAGCTGGTGGGGGCATGTTCTCATTAAATCTACGATCTAACTTATCTAACTGAAACTTTAATTCTAATGTTCTTTCAAATCTTTCTTGTGCTCGTTCTATTAATCTTAAACTATCCTTATTACTCTTCTCTCTTATTGTTCTTAAAGCTTTCTCTTTCATCTGGTCTAATATAAGGTTATCTAAACGTTTCTGATTCGAAATTTTTAAACTATCTATTAATGGATCTATACTATTCTTAACAAATTGCACTATTTTTCTATGTAAATCCTCACTAAATTGTTTCATCATTTCTTCTAATTCTTTTTCTTGTTGTTTCGATTTCTTTTCTAAATATTCTCTATGTAATTTAATATTTTCTATGCTTGCTCTTAAATGAAAGATCTCAAAATGAAATTTACATTCTATCGGAATTACTGGAAAGTCAAATAAATTTATTCTATTAATTTCAGAATCTTTTGGAATAACTGATGGTGAATGGGGGATACTATCTTGTTCCATTTGATGGTCTTGTTCTTCTATCTCAATTGTTGATCTTATTCGAGGTACTACAATAGGCGAATTACTATTATTATTTTCTTTATCTTTTTCTTTTTTATTTTTAGTATTTGATGTTATAGGATTGGGACTATAAACTAATGGCTGAGGTGGTGGAATAGGTGTTTTCGGTGTGCTCTGTCGTGGACTGATTGGTGGTGGATCATTTAAACCTGGTGGTGTTTTCGGAAGCTCAGTGGATGAATCTTGAATTTGTCCATCAAATATTTCCTCTCGTTGAATTCTAATTCTTTGTGGTTTTCTTACATGCACATGCGCATTCCATGGACGATGCTTTTCTTTTTTATCTACAGGTGTATCTGCTCTTGTCTTCTTAGGTATCTGATCTATTTGTTCTTTATTACTATTCTCATTAATTAATAAAATAGGACTTCCTTCTGGTGCTCGTGGGTCGTTCTCAATTGAAATTTTCTTTTTCTTTTTTGATTTCGTTTTCTTCTTTCTTAAAATATTATCTTTTTCTGATGTTTTTCTCTTGGATGATGGTGAAAGACTCGTATCTTGTAATTTTCTTTTCTTATTTTCTTCTTCTTCTTCTTCTTCACTATTACTATTCTCACTATCTGATGTACTATTGATGTTACTATCACTAGACTCTTCCTTACTCTTATCCTTATTCTTATCCTTATCCTTATCCTTATCCTTATTCTTATCCTTATCCTTGTTCTTATCCTTATCTTTGTCCTTATCCTTATCCTTATCCTTATCCTTATCTTCTATATTACTATCTTCATTACTCTGACTATCTGTATCACTAACTGTCATATTTAATATTTTTGAGTATCTTTCTGAAAAAGGTCTTGCTTGTGGAATTTCTTCAATATCTCGCATTCTTATATCATCCCCGTCCTTATCTAAATCTTGTTCTTTACTACTAGCTACCTGTTCATATATTTTCCATTTTCTACTGGGTGTGGGTGGGGTGTGTGGGTGTGGGTGTGGGTGTGGGTGTGGGTGTGGGTGTGGGTGTGGGTGTGGGTGTGGGTGTGGGTGTGGGTGTGGGTGTGGGTGGGTGTGTTACAAATAGAGTGATTCAAAGCATCATACGACGCGTTTC